GAAGGCTGCTGAGAGATTATGTCCCTCAAAATATGAGAGGAAAGCTGTACTCATGAAATCTCAAAATTAGAGTCACCTAAACAAGACCTACTCAACAACAACACAAGTTGGCATTGCAATGTGGATGGGGAAAGTCTCACAAGGCCCTAACCATACATGGAAAACTATAGGCAATACATGGCTGCTGGGTAGAGTATCAGTTTTTTTTTAGGGACAAACCCCTGATAGGTTATCTAATCCCAGTGGTCAGCCCTAAGCATGTGCACAAACAAGCTACACAAAATGGACTCAGCAGACTGTGTTCATGTATAAATATGTGTGCATGTGTGCAACAAAAATTAAAGAAGAGTTCATGAATTTTACAGGGAGTGCCGAACATGGAGAAGTTCCAGCAGGGAGATGGGGGTGAAGGTAATGCAAATACAGTACTCATATATAAAATTATAAAAAACATTAATTGTAAGTTCTAAAAAGAATTATTTGGGGTCTCTATTGTTGCTGACTTTCAGGTACTGGAATTAATGAAAGTGTCCTAGTTAGCTTTCTGTTACTGTAATAAACACCAGGACCAAAGGCAAACTGGAGAAGAAAGGGTTTAATACATCTGACACTCCCAGGTCACAGTCTAACTTTGAAGGAAGTCAGAAAGGCACTCAACAACAAGAACCATACAGAAATTCTGCTTAGTGGCTTGCACTCTCCCCCATGCTCAACTAGATTTCTTGTACAGCCCAAGTCCATCTGCTTAAAGATGGTCCCACCCACAGTGAGCTGGGCACTTCCACATCAATCATCAGTCAAGACCATTTCTCACTGAAATGGTCACAGGCCAAAATGATCTTGGCAATCCCCAATTGAGACTGCCTCAGATAACAACCGACTCTATGGCAACAGGAAGCAATACAGAGGGGAACAACAGGGCACAAGAAATCCCATAGGGGAAATGGAGAAAATGGGGGCAGGGAGTGTAATTAGAACAGGTACTGGAAATAAATACAGAAGGAGGGGAGAGGATAAAATGAGTAAGGATGCCTGAAAAAAGTAATAAATAATCACACTATTAACTATCTATCTAAAAAGATTCCCAATTTATTTCTGGTGCAATTCAAAATGACTGACACCATCATCTTTCACCCAAAACAATTCAAAATGCACACAATTAAGTAAAAGTAACATTTATTTTATGTTATATAGAAGAAAACATTTAAATCTTTAACCAACTATTTAAGGATCTTTGACGGATACCAGCATCTTTATTCATGGACATGGCAAGGATATGGCTTAGCTATTACATCCATAAACTGACAGTAGCAATGGTTACCTTCTCACGACAAGAAAGCCAGGGTCACCAACATTCCATCATGGATAGAGGAGTGTCCTATAAGGTTACCCCTCCCTAAGACACTGTTGGCAGTTAATGCTGCTGGGGGGAGAGGAGTTACATTCCTCAGCAGTGTAGCCTCTGGAAAGTCACCCTTACTCAAGTTAATAAGCCCATAGTGATACAAACCACCCTAATTAAATGCAACAGAACATAAGGAAAAAGTTGAATAAGAAGTTGTTAGGAAGGAGCTTGGAGGAAGGAGATACAAAAAAAGGACATGGGGGTGAATATGATCAAAATATATGATTTATATAATTGTGAATGAATATAAATTGAAAAGAATAATCCTCAGCATCCTAATTCCCACCACTCTAGAACATGCACAGAAAACACCACTCTTGTGTGTACCATGGTCCACATCTCTAGTGTCTCCAGGACTCAGCATGGTCTGAGCTGGGGCCAGACGATGAAGAAGATTTAGGCGTCTACAAGTTGCTGCAATAATGACAGACTCCCATAAAGGGCAGACAGAGGCATCTTGGCTTCCAGATCCCAAGTTGACCTGGGATTATTCAGCTCCATCTTCAGACCACACTCCTTCAGCAATTCATAAGTAATGGTCAAGCCCTCACCCTGGAGTGGGGCAAGAAGTTGAGGCTGGAGAGTGAAGGGGATGTTCCAGGGATACTTGAAGTTTGGCTGCAGGATGCTCTTTACCTAGAAGAAAAACTCTCAGATTTGACAGACCAGGCTCTGACACCAGTGTGAAAAACTTTCTGTCCTACAAGCAATGAACCACACAAGATAATGAACTAAGCAAGACCTGGATCACTGTGCATTGGTTCCTCAGCTACAACATGGTAATTATAAGGCCTGTGCTGCACAAGAGTGCCGTGTGTGTGTGTGTGTGTGTGTGTGTGTGTGTGTGTGTGTGTGTGTGCGCAAGTGTGTATATGGCTAGGAACACTTTTATATTTACAGATAAATATATGGGGAGAGAAAAGGCAATTTGAAAATTATAACTGTAAACAGAAAAAGGTGTAACTGACATTCATCTCCTTCATCCCTACAAAGATGCCTTCTTAGGTGGCTAATTTAGATCTAGTAGGCCTGGCCTCTGGGACCACCATAAATACAGAGACTCTCCTGACAGGATCAAACCCAACCTGCCTGATCCCCAGAGAGAGAAGGCAACCAGGGACATTCCCAACTCCTCTACTTGTGGAAACTATATTTCTTTCTTCTAGAATGTTCTTCCTCTTCCTGCTTTCCTCTCTCCCCCAACCCTGGATTGCTAGGATTTGGGGTTTCTTACCAGCTCTCGTTGCTGGAAGAGGAGCCTCTTCTCCATAGACTGGGCCAGCAGACTGAGTTGGGTATCACTCAGCACTGAAGGAAAGGATGTGTGAGGAAACAGAAAGACAGCCTCAATATTTTCCTCTCAATATGAACTAGGACACCCAATGAGAGGAAAACTCTGGAACAGAGGAATATGCCCCATTGGATTTGAAGGTCAAGCTCACAGTCTCTAGAAAGCTTTTCTGCCCTTCAGACGGCTCCAGAATCATAAGAGACATGACCCAGAGCCTGACAATCTAGAGGCTGAGACAGGAATCATCTTACACCAAGGATGTGTGAAGAAAATGGTGACTGCTCACTTTCTACACCTCAGTCTCCATCCACAGTGCATGGACTGTTATCATCCTGAGCCTTGCTGATGTCACAGAGCAGGGTGACATGAGAATGATCATGATAATTCAAGAGCCTTGGGGAGGTGGATCTAAAAGAGCCCTCTGAGAATCAACACCAGGACTGTCCCACACTTCCCTCAAATCATTCTTACCCATTAGGGCTTGAAGGAGATAAAGAATGAGGTTCTTTAGGTCAATCCATGGGGGTCTTGAGTCCTGTCGCAGCACATCTAGGATCACAGCACCTGGGCCATCCATATGCCCCAACTGATCCAATTCCAGCTAGAGGAGACAGATGTTCTCTTAACAACAGCATTCCCAGTGCTGTCGATGAATGACTTTATACATGCTGAATGAATCCTCTACCATGAAGCTGCAGCCTGGCTCCCTATTCCTTTCATTTTTCTCTTCTGTGTGACAGGGTCTCAGGTTGTTGCCCATGCTAGCTTTGAACACACTATGTAGCCCAGAAAGGCCTTGAACTTGCAACATTCTTGCAAGTAGCTTCAGCTTCCCATGTCTGGCTCAAAAC